AGGGGAAGGCGAGGGGTGGGGGATTCGGGGAAGACGAACCTCAGGGGGAAGAAGGCGGGGTCGAATATGGGATGAAACGCGGGATGGAAAGGAGGGAGAAGGCGTGGACGCGGATGGGATGGAACGCGGGAGGGAAGGGAGGGAGAAGGCGCGGGGAATGTGTGAAGGAGGAGAAGATGGCAGGAAGAAGAAGATGACAAGTAGGAGAAGGAAATGGGAGGGAGGAGTAAGATGGTAAGGAGCTGGACTAGTAGCAGAAGGAGAGGGGAAGAGGAGTAAGAAGATAACATGGCAAGGTTGTGTGTGTATGTGTGAGGAGGAGGAAGGAAGAACATGGCAAGGAGGAAGATGAGGCATGGAGGAGCCGGAGGATATAGGCAAAACATTCCTCCTAGAAAACGATTAAATAAAACATATCAGGCAGGTTACAAACACAGTCCTCAATCCCTACATCCACGCAAGGAAGAGGACCTTTTTGCTGTTGTTCTTGCCTGGACTCAAGATTCTAGGGCTCTGTCTGTAACCTTGGCAGAGGAGGAGGACGGTGCAAAGAAGATGGATGATATAGGTCTACATTAGCCTTTGCAAATGACGCGAACGAAACAAGTCAGCTAGGTTACAAATACAGTCCCACATCCCTAGATCCAGGTAAGCAACAAGAAGAAATGAGAAAGACACGTCCTTCAAGTGTTTCTGTTCTTAGACAAAAATTCCACCTCGAGCACTACATGTTTTTCTCCCCCGACCACTACAAGTTCTTCTCAGACCTTTAAAAAACTGTATTTTTTATTTCGCTGTCATTGTTATTTGAACCGGAATTATAGGGCTATATTTTTAACCTTGGTTGTGGAGCAAGAACATGGAAAGATGGGTAAGGATACAGGCCTACATCTTTCTAACAAAATGACAGAATTACAAGAAATCTGACAACTTATTAATAAAACCATAAATCTGTCCTGTTTCGGTCCTCGAAGGAGTGTATTTCTTATTTATTTGTAATCCAAGTTTATAACACTATACTTTTAAAAATAGCAGTTTAAGATTTCGAAAAACATGCAAATCATAAGAGTTATTCTTACAGCGAAATTATCAAAGATAATTCTTTTCTCTCTCTCTCTCTCTCTTTTTTTTTTTTTTTCTCTCTCTCTGTCTCTCTCTCTCTATATCTATCTATCTATCTATCTATCTATCTATCTATCTATCTATCTATCTATCTATCTATCTCCATGTTTGTAAATTTGTTTATTTGAGTCCCCTGACGATCTACACTGGAACCACGGTCATTAAGCAACTACAACGCTGCTCGACGATGCTTTCTCTCTCTCTCTCTGTTTGTATCTGTATGTTTGCTCTCTAAGCTACGACGACGCTCAACGATGCTCGTCCTCTTTGAAATTCTTTTTTGCCGCTCCCGACCTTGCGGAGTCTTTCTCACAATTCAGAAATCTTGTAGCGGGGTCGTCCAAATTTTCCTGGTTAAGTCTCCAAGAAGTAAAATTCCGTATTCAACCCGTAAGCGGGCGCTTGGCATTCAATATTGTTTGTTTTACCGGGTCGTGGCTCTCCGAAATTTGGTCGCCAGCTCTCTAAAATTTCAATTTTCGAGACAACCGTTGGCGGGAAATCTAAATTTTAACGATGTTCTTGACGACGATCCCAGTGGCTGGACGGTTGGAATTATTTGTTTTGGCGGGAGTCCGGGCTCTTCGAATTTTTGTCGCTAACGGTCCGAAAATTACACTTTTGCAAAAACCTTGGCGGGGATCCCAGTAGCTGGGCGCGGGTCGTGGCTTTCCGAAATTTGGTCACTAGCTCTCTAAAATTTCAATTTTCGAGACGACCGTTGGCGGGAAATCTAAATTTTAACGATGTTCTTGACGACGATCCCAGTGGCTGGGCGGTCGAAATTATTTGTTTTGGCGGGAGTCCGAGTTCTCCAAATTTTTGTCCCTAACGGTCCGAAAATTACACTTTTGCAAAAACCTTGACGGGAAATTGACAACTCTTAAAGATATTCTTTACGGGGATCCCAGTCGCTACCGGCTCAAAATTTGTACTTCTCCAAAATCCGTTGGCGGGAAATCCAAAATTGCGAATGATGTTCTTGACGAGGGTCGCAGTTGCTGGTGTTCTCATTTTATTTCGATTTGGTGTCCAAGAAGTCTACGCCCGTTAGCGACGCTCTTCCGGCTGTCCTCCGACACACTTTCTCGCGCTAACACCGAGTTTTCTCTTTTGTAGAGGACGCCATCGCCATTTCTAGATGCTAGATAGGTTGTCGTATTATATGTTCCTGCCATGGATTCTTTAACCGAAAGATGTAGTCAGAGTACTTACAAGATTAACCCCGTGAGATGGTTTCCAGACCTTTCTCAATGTAAGAAGAGTGTTGATGCCAAGAGTGTCAAGACGAAGAATAGCAGGTGGTTTCCGGACCTGCGTCAATGTTGTACATGGGGAGGCGAGAAGCAGAACCCTCTACCGAAGCTCAGTGCAACTGGTGAGAGGACCACCAATGTCTGTTTGTTTCCGAAGCGTCCGCGATCGAACACGCCAACAAGAAAGGTTATTGCGCCATGCCGAGCAGCAAACACAGTGATGGGTCTCTGCGCAACTGGAAAAACGGGGAGTACAATCCAGATAGAGCGCCGAGGGAAGCAGCAGTGCCCGAACGTTGAAGGCGAACAATCCAGAGAGAGAGAGACGATGTACAGGACATGAGCGAGAACTTTGTTGTGAAAGAAACGCTCTATGACAGCGTGGCGCAAAAATCGCGTGACAACGGCACTGAGGAAGAGGAAGCCAGTGACGACGATGATGAGGAGGGCGAATTGAGCGACGACGATGAGGAGGAGGAGGAAACGAGCGAGAAAACGAGCGAGAATGCCGATTCAGAAGACACAGACTCAGAGGATGATGAAGGGAAGAACGAGTCGGGAATTGATGTCGACATGTTCAAGAAGAGTCTATCTGGAGAACTTTTAGGAGAAACGAAGCAGATAATAGCACAGGAGGTGAGAAGAAGACTGTACAACAAATCAAGCAAGAGTGAGAAACCTCCTTACAACTTGGGAAAGCGCGGCAGGAACGCACGTGTGTACAACAAGCAAGCTAACTACCACGTGAACATGAAGAATGTCGAACTAGTTCTGAAGGAAGATTGCTGCAAGGCCAACTGTTACAAGAAGTTCACGGCGGTAGATGTTTTCTACAAGCGCGAAGAATTTTGGGCGATGAAACAACCTGAGCAACTGAACTTCTTTGTCGCAGAGATGAGGTCTGCGTCGTACTTTTTGGATGAGAGAGATTTAGAGGTGTTAAGGGTGACGTTCAACGGCGTAAAGGTTTGCACAAAAGCGTGGGGAAAGCTGTACGGATGCTCGACTACACATGTTGCAAAGATACGCAAAGAATTCAGAGAAGGAATGGTGCTGTACGAGCATGCAAACAAAGGATCAGTCGGATTATCTGCTTCATCACAACAAATTTTCGCCAGGTTGCATGAATATTTCCGATAGAATACAGAGAGTATGCCAAACAGAGACCAGTTTCATCTTTCAGATACTCTCCGGCACAGAGACGTGTACGCCTTCTTCAAGCGAGACTGCAAAGAGCTGTACACGAATCAGACTCTTCCTTCCCGTTCTAGATTTATGACCATTTCGAGGGTTCACTGCCCGAAAGTTCTTATTCCTGCATTGAAGAGGTTGTCGGTCTGTTCCACATGTCTGAAATTCAAGACAGGCCGTTCATAGGCAACAAGTGCGTTCGAACGGGGTAATGATATAACCTCAGTGCTTATTTTCTCTCCCCCTGTCTTCCTGACCCTTCTTCTCTCTCTCTCTCTCTCTTTCTCTCTCTCTCTCTCTCTCTCTCTCTCTCTCTGAGTGTTCATTCTTCGATGTTTGCCACAACGCGACTGATTGTTTTGAATTATATCCCTTTAAGTTGTTTTTGCAGAAGGTAGAGGCTGTGACTTGCACATTTACGGAAGGATTCTCATGGAACTCTTCTTCGTCTCTCCTATTTCTTCTTCTTCTTCCTCTCTCTCTCTCTCTCTCTCTCTCTAAATGTTCTTCGTGTAGAAAGAAAAATGAATCTTGTGTCAGCGCAAACTGGGAAGGATTCTTATGAAAGTAGTAAGTTTGGTAAAGAAATAGTTAAACGTTTTATCTCTGTCTCAGTTATAGTCCTATAACACTTTGTCTCTTATTCGTCTTCGACTTTTCAGAGTTAAAGCCCTTTTTCACTTTATCTAATAATCATCTTCGTGACGCCTGCGTTGCCTTCCCCGAACTCGTTCAGTCCATCAAAACAATTTTTTTGGGGAATAATGAATTGAAGATTCTACGACGTTTGTGGACTCACTTTTCTGAGTTATAGCCCTATAACACTTTATCTAATAATCGTCTTCGACTCCTCAGAGTAAAAGCCCTTTAACACTTTATCTCTTAGCCATCTTCGATTTTAAAGCCCTTGTTATTAGTGACGTCTGCGTTGCCTTGCCCAAACTTCGAATGTTATGATCCACTGCACTTGTGGACTGGCTTTCTTGAGTTATAACCCTATAACACTTTGTCTAATCATTGCTTTCGATTTTAAGGCCCTTCATCGCGCTTTGTCTCTTTTCTTTAACATGTTTTGACAAAGTAACCGCTTGTTTTGTTTTTTGCGCAGAAATGTTTGGCAAGGCACTAAAGAATCACCGGTTAATGCAAGCAGAAGAGAGACAAAAACTCAGTAAGCATCGCCACAAGGCTTCAAGTCATCCGTCAGAGTATGTCACGATGATCATTGATGGGATGGATCAGAGCAAGACTATACTGCCACACTTCACTAGGGTTCCAAAGGATTCGAAACTAAAAGAAGGGAACTTTGTGAAAATTCACGTGGTTGGGGCTAAGGTGCTAGGACTCTCATCGAACGCCTCTGCAACTGTTTTCTTTGACAACTTCAAATCAGATTCTAATTGCATGCTAACTGTTCTTCATTGTCAGATTTCTCAACTTCCTGTACCATTTCCGAGAGTCCTGTATCTTACGCTTGATAACACTTCGAAAGAGAACAAGAACAAATTTGTGTTGTCATATCTCATGTTCTTCATGAAAATGAGAGTGTTTAGTAAAGTTAAGTTAAACTTTCTTCTTGTAGGTCACACGCACGAGGACATCGACCAGATGTTCAACTGTTTCTCGAGAAAGATGGCTGCACATGGTGCGTTCGATCTTCCTTAGTTGCAACACGTGATTAGGGAGTCGTACAAGGTAGAACAAGATCATGGCGTGCACGTTGAGGAGATAATGGAAACAATGGACTGAAAGTTGTACGTTCAGGATCATCTACATAATGTCAATGATATTAGTTTCAACCAACATTTTCGAATCAAGCGCAACGACAACGGGGAGGTGCGCATTTGGAGCAAGCAATATCATAACTCGCAGCGACAACCAAACGACAGATAAGGTCTGGACATCTTCAAGTCAGAGCCAAGAGGACAAGTTCAAGCTTCGCCAAAGCATACAATCCGATCATTGGAAACAAGATATCGACTTACTTGTCGCAGTGAGGACAAGAGGCGTGATAAGGTCGTCAGCAGTGAAGGTCATGTCCGTAATCGAAAAGCGGGAGGATCTTCGAAATTCAAGGTTGACGATGATGTACTTTCCATCGCCGCCTTGAAAGCCAACGTACATGCCCTGTCACATTACGCTCAACCCCACAATATTGAATGGTGGAATAAGTTTATAGCAACGCAGGAAACTCTCGACCTTGAGGACACAAACCTCAAAGAGCCTTTCGCGTGGCCCTTTGTAACAGTTGATGTCAACAGAGCAGGTGAAGAAGTTCCACTAACCGCTAACGGCTTTGACCAACGTTGGGATGATTTTTTCCCTCCTGAGAGACCCATCTATATCAACGCACGAAAGAGCAGACAATTTCGAGAGGACAGCGACGGAAAGTACGATGATCTCGAGGTCAACACTTTCATCGCATTACGAGCTTGTTCGGGGCAGGAAGAGAGAGACAAACCTTACCACATTGGCAAGGTTGTCGAGCTGCTAGCAGGTAAACGATTTAAAGATTCTTGGTTTGCACAACGTGAGAAAGGAGAGGGTTACTACCCTCAGTTCAAGACAAATCTCTCAAGGAAATACTACGAGAGAGCCTTCCGAGGACGTCTTTGACTGGAGCTGCGACGTTCTTTGTTACAACTTCCAACTGAAGACAGACAGGACCCTCTTCCGGCAGACCAGACAAAAGATCTCTTAGATGTTGAATTCCATGGTAACGGAGGATGTCGACTAGGAAGACCTTCTTGGAACCGATTGCTTCGGAGGTTGGCAGAGTGTCATCGAGATCGAGGTCATTTCTGCTCCCGCATTAGATCAGGTTTCCTTTTGTCGCTGTTCAACATATTATCTGAGTCTAGTCGTTAGCGGCTTGTAAATTCTTGTAAATATGTACAACAGTAGGTTGCAGTTCGCAGCCAGGCACGTGTGGCTAACCTTTTTGTTATCTGAGTCTAGTCGTTAACGGCTTGTAAATTCTTGTAAATTTGTACAACAGTAGGTCGCAGTTCGCAGCCAGGCACGTGTGGCGAACCTTTTTATTTTCACGATCTTTTTCAAATGTACTTTGCGGTTTTTCACTTTACAATTTTGAGATTTTGGAAATTGACTCACAATTTGCCGTTTGGGTTCCGACTTTTCAATTTGCGGTTTGTCATTCATTTTTTGACCAAAACATTTGTCACATGAACAATTATCGATTTGCGGTTTGTCATTCAAACTCTCACGACATTATGTTTTTTTCTACTTCCCGCAAAGTCGTGTTAAAGGCCTACAATGTCGTGTTCGAATTTCATTGAATTTTTACGATGTTCAACATTGCGTTTACAGCGCTTCAAACACCTTACCGATTACGGAATAAAATTTTTACGCTCGCCAAGCTTCATGTCAGATTCTCACGAAATTATGCTATTTTTCTACTTCCCTAAAATTCGCGTTATAGGCCTATAAGGTCGTGTTCGAATTTCGTGGAATTTTCACGACTTTTAACACTGTGTTTTTATGGCTTTAAATACGCGACTGATAATGGACTAAAATTATCCTCTTTTTTTACTTTTCCAAAATTCGCGTTATAGGCCTATAAGGTCGTGTTTAAATTTCGCTCAATTTCAACGATGTTGAACATTGCGTTTATAGGGCTATAAACACTTTATAAACACTTAACCGATTGCGGACTAAAATTATTGTATCCGTGTTTGCGCAAATTCGAGTTATAGGCCTATAAGATCGTGTTTGGAAGTCGTTGAATTTTCGTGACAGTCGAATATGGTCAATTTGACTATCCACAACTTTTGGAGATTTGAAATCGGTTGTCGTTGGCTGTTTTTTGCTTTCCTCTGCATCCCGTTTTTTTACTACCTTCGTTTTCAAGCTTCTATTTCCTTAGTATTATGAGTGCAAAGAAAGAGGCTCTGTTCGCCTTGCCAGGTTTTCGGTTAGTTTTTACGTCCTTGGATTAGGTTCCGAAAAAGACTTTTCTGTTTTGAAACAAAATACTACTTCCAGTGTACACTACTGATTGGTCGTTTCGTTATGCACTGAAATCTCCATAAATTGGAGATCTTTTCGTCAGCCATGAGTAGGAGTCACCTGTTCGCCTCCAAAATGGGCTCTTTTTTCCACGTTGTAGTCGGCCTCGTATATTTACTGATTTTTAGGCGGGGTTCGATGACATTTGCGCACGGAACGGTGCAAAATCCACCTTTACTTCTTAAAAAATGCTATGTTTTATTGACGTTTTTCTGTCTATAGGATTTCTCTGGTTTTGGTCTGTTTCTCTGGTTTTCACGAATCCATTGCTTAATGCTTAAACTAACTACTCGATCTGACTTGCCCTACCAAAAAAAACCAATCTAACGCTTTCTCCCGCTCGATTTTGCAGAATTTCTGCCCATTAACGATCGAGAAAAACCCGTTTCCTCCTTTTCATTTTTCGCTTCCTCCATAGCTCTGCGCGATGCCTGTTTCACTAACCTCCTATTCTAGTATCCATTGCCAAAACTAACCTTACCAGTAGATTCGTCCGGCCTCCAAACGCTAGTCCATCACGTTTTTCCGCCTGTTTTCATCTCCTAACGGGCGAAATCGATCATTTTCTATATTTTTCTCCACTCTCTCGTTGATGTTTTCGCGCGTCCTTTCCCTTCACCATATCCCTGCGCACCGTTTTTCTCGAGTAGCTCCCCCTTCTCTAACTGTCTACTACTTCTGAGTTCAGAAACGGGGTCGCCTGCCCCGAAAACCTCGTCTTTGTTCTTCACTTGGCCGATTCTGCAAAGAATCGCACGAGTTGTCCATCTCCCACTGCGTCATGCCCGTTCCCCACCGGCGTTCTCGTTTCCCCCTCCTGCGATTGCTCCTTATTGGCATGACCCACCTTGTTCTGAGTGCCAGCAGCACCGCGCCTACCGAGTCGCAAGGTCCACTTGACGAACCCTCTCCGAAACGGAGCAGTGGGCACACAGTCTTCGCCTGAGGCCTGCCACGTCAGATTCCGAAACCTGTGACGTTCGTC